TTTTTTTATATTTTTTTTCATGGGGGAATTAATGCCTACCTAGTAATTAAAATACGCTTATAATTATCTATTTTTTGGGTTACTCACAAAACCATAATTTTGGAAGCGTTGTGAGGCGTGGAAAATGTAAAATAAAAAGTTAAATGAGACAAGAGTAAATCTAATAAGCCGACACGAAAGTAAGTATCCGAGTGAATTCGCTTGCCAAGAAATAATGACTCGGTATATTCTGTTACTCTGATGTTGTAGCTGATCGATAAAGAACCCGATAATCCCGTTGAATCCTCGGGCATACCGAGGATTTTCTTTATTCTTTTCAATCAATTTTTATTTCGCTTCATGCGTCAACATTTTTTTAAATTTATCCCAGACGGTTTCATTTTTCAGGCATTATAGACCTAACTGAATAACAAAATTAACAAATTTTTAATGAGAATAATTATTCAAATTTAAATTCGTATTATTTTTCCACATCCCGACAAAGCATCTGCGATATTTAAAATATTTTCCAACTCTATGTATATAGACAACTTGGAGTTCCAGTTGAGCTTTTCCTGGTATTCACATCCACAGAGAAAAGTAAAGAGGCAGAGAGGCAGACCCCCAACTGCAGACTACGGCAAAGTGAAGGTATTTCATATAAAACCTCGGCGCTATTATTAACGGTTGGACTGGATGTAAAATGGTCAGAAAAGTTTTTTGAGTCTCTGGTGGGATCCGGTACTAGCTAGCTTATACTGCCCGAGCTTATGAACACACGGTGGACTGGAGCCACAACTGTTACACAAACTTTCTAGCAAAATCCAGAGTAGAGTAAAGTGCACGCGGCATGTAAACTATAAAGGCGTGTTTTATAAATACGAACGAAAAAATTTTAAATTTTTTATATGGCTTGCTCTGATCATGTGTGATAATATGAAGAAATAATGGAGATAGACCCATAGTATATAGACATTTTTTTTTTTTGAAATTTTTTAAGCTACAATTTTTGATTTTTAATAATAGACTAATTGAAAAATGTTAACTAAACTCCACTGAGAAAAGGCATAAATAGAAGCCATTTATTGGGAGTACGTGTGTTTTCAAAGGGAAGATAAATCTCCTAAAATCGAGCTGAATAAAATAATCTGAGTCAGTTAACAGGTTATGGGTCACATAACCATTGGAATTGAAGCTTAGCCATCTACCGACAATACTTACCAAATAAATTTTAGTATCCTGTTACTAAATATTATTTGGTGGAAATAAATATTTATTTCCGTGTAATAAGGCTTTGTTCATATAAAGAAATCATATGACACTGAGCTTAGCGTCTAAAAATTTTTGATTTTTTTTATTAATTAAATTATAATTAAAATGGTATTTCTAAAAAATTGCACTTATAGTTTTTCAAGTTTTTTGCATGTGAATTTTATTTTTTTAATTATTTAATTGAAATTTTGTCAATAAAAAATTTCTAAAAATTTTGAAATGTCAGCTAACTTGACTTTCGTAGAAATCATTTATTAAACTGTAACAAATTATATTGATGAATACAAAGCATTTGTTTCTGCCAAATAAATGAATAAAAATTTTGTTACTAAATCCTTCTATCACTGTATAGAAATACTTTTTAATTAACTAAATAGTATAAAAATAAATTTTGTAGGAAATTTTGAGCTAGGTACAATTTTTTCTAAAAATTCATATTTTAGGAGTTATAGCCATTTATTACAGTGACTAGTCATTAATTTTCTATTTAATTCAAATTTTCTTAAAATAATATCATCATTTGCCTTGATCTGGTCAAATATGGGCATACCATAAAATTTATCCAAGACTACATTACTCGTAATGAATAAGCCATCTCTTTTTGATGTTATTGACATTCTTAGAGAGCCAAAGAAACGCGTATTAGGCTGAATAAAAAATTTAAGAAGAAGAAGAAGAAGAAGAAGAAGAACTCGAGATGAAAGTGGTAATACATATATGTATGAGTTACACTCGGATAGGTGAAACATTCAGATCAGAGACTAGCTTCTAGCTTCTAGCTGACATGCAGGTACCGAAAACTATTTCCCGTTTCCCGTTTCGCTTATTGACCAGAGCACTCTTAATCCTGGAGGCCAACATCAAGAGTAGAGTCGTAGACGCGAAACTCGAGATACGAGACTTCAGACATGAGACATGGGACATGATCAAAGCCGAGCTGCGGAGCAAGAATGAAGAAACCGGATCACGTAGGATCAGTTTGCCGAGGGCAGAACAGGACACACTCCAAGGAAAAGGCATCAACAATCTATCTCTTTAAGAATTTTCGTTGAAAACCGAAACGCTACCCTTGCTTTTATTCCCTCTGATCGGGGTGTCCTCTGAATACTGATAGACAGGCTGACCCATGTCCTTTGTCAAATCAGTAGTTACCTTTCTTTATCGACAGAACTGCACTCGTTTGCCGTTTTAAGATTCGATAGATCAAAGGACCTTCACGTGCCGAGAATATTTTATAAACATTCATGATAATTATTCTGATTTTTGGAAATTTAAATTTTTGTAGAAATAATTACTTTATTGATACTTTTTTTAGTTACGAAATTTGGACAATTGAACACCCGAAGCGATTGATGTTGAATGTTAAGGGAAGGGAAAGGGGGTGCGCGAAACCGACTGTCGTTAATCGCAGCAACCGCGTATGAGTACACGGGTACACTGCACTACTGGAGATAATGCGTATTATTATTGTGTAGATATCTATATATTGGACGTATATGCGGAAACTGCAGCGGCTGGAACCTGGAACTGTTCTATCTTGTTGAGTTTCTCCAGTCTACTGCCGTTACCATGTCGTGCAATGCATGTGGCGTATAATTTCACGGTTGTAAGCATTATGTCTATTCCATACTATGTGTTAATCGTTCTGTGCATTTAAATCTATTACATTATAAATTTTATATATTTATATTGTCATTTTATTTTTCTTAATCATGATAATATGTATTATTAAGAGAATAAGCGAAATTTTGTAGCAAGTCTACTTGTACATAATTGAGAAATTACCTTGTATCTTGTGAACTATTGACATTTTTTAAGATATAAGCTCATCCCGATGTTACACTCATTAAGAGCTTTCATTTGAGTACCCACATCAATTTTTTATATATTTTATATATTTATATATATTATATATATGTGTATATGAGAAATATATAAAAAATTCATGTGGGTACTCAAATGAAAGCTCTTGATGAGTGTAACATCATGATGAGCTTATATCTTTAAGAATATCATACATTGACAAAATTCAATATAATTTCTTAATTAATGACATTTTTAATGATACACTGAGAGAAAATTTTATTCAATAGTAATAAAATTTTATTACTATGTAATAAAACGTTTATTTGGCTAATAAAGGAGAAGGGGAAATAAACAAGTAGGTTAGGTTAGGATGTCTCGTTGAAACATCTTTATACTATTTATTTGTTAAAAGATTTTATTGTGAAAATATATTTGAATATGATATAATTAATTAATAAATATTAATTTTTTTTTTTGAAATTATTTGTTTTAATGACTTAATATTCGTATTAAAAACACATATTAGTATTTAAGAAAATTTTATTAAATACTAATAAAATTTTATTCATAGGGAATATAATTTTATTACTATTAACTAAATTTTCTTTTCAAGTCCAAATAAACTTATTTATTACTATTAAATAAAATTTTCTATACTAAAATATTTAAATATCTTCTCAATAAATAAGGCGGTAATTATAGTTAATTTAGCAATTATTCAAGCTACGATTCATTGAAAAATAACGCGGTAAAAATCGATTTTTCTTAATGCAAACAATGTAATAACAATAAAATTGATTAATAAAAAAAATAAAAGATAAAAAGCAAAATAATAAAAAACAGAAAACTTTGCTATGGTTTAGTGGCGCCATAATTGTAAGGTGAGGAAAAAAAATACTGTAATGAAATGTATAGATAGATATACAAAAAAATCCACAGTCATATATTAGTTTTTTATAAATAATAATTTAACGACAGTGAATTGAACGCTCATATTAATTAGGAAAATCCTTCGTGTGTTACTTTAGATAATAAAAAAAAAATTATTCTGGTACGATAATTTTTTCGACCAATTTCCCTGCCACATACACTCATCCATACACGGACGTCCAGAAAAAATTATGTTAAATGTTATTATTTACTATGTTAAACAAAAAAATTGTTATTGAAATATATCTTATGTGCCTGACAAATTATTCGACTTGATATAAGTGTACTCATATTAACCTATAAGTGCGATATAAATAACAAAAAATCAATTTTAGTTTCGAGAAAACTGCTTTTTTTGAAATGTCGAGAGTAGAGCACAACCTCAACGCTTCGTTTATGAGGCGTGCAATATATGAAAAATACATGTGGGTACTCAAATGAAAGCTCTTGATGAATATAACATCATGATGAGCTTATATATCTTTGAAAATATCAATAGTTAAAAAAGTATTATTATTATTATTATTCAGAAAAATTAGACAGATTTAATAATAATAATAATAATAATAATAATAATAAAAAGATGTTAAAATAAATTTTTGTAGAAGATAGAAAATACTTGACTGATAAAAGTCTCTTTAGAGTTGGTTGCTCACAAAAGAGGGTAGAAAAGCATTATATTTGTATCTGTATATCAGTATCACGGTGAAGCCAGCCGAGTAAGAAGGAATATATATATGCTATGGGGTTGTTGTAACTGTTGTTGTGTATTTGTGAGTTACGTCAGGTGTACTTTGTTCTGAATAAGACATAGTTTTAAATCTTTATGACTTTCTGCCGGAATAACAACCAACCGCAGAACAAAATAAAACCAGAGCTTACTTATTCACATTTTTTATCATTTTTATTATTATTATCATCCTCCGCAATACATGCTATACATAATACACGATAATATACATTATTTCCAGAAGAATAGAGAACCCTAAAGGAACTTCCCGGCGTCAAATCAGCTACTTAGTCAACGCGGGGTTCATCGGGATGCTTTTAATGAACGGCTGCAGCACTGAGCCAGGAGCGAGGGGTTTTTTTTTTTCACCCCCGACAGTCTGTACATTTTTCACGCACCCATTTTTCAATTTCTTCACGCTCATAGTATGCAAATTCGTTCCGTTTTGCGTCCAATTAACCAAAATCTGTTTAGATTAAAAGTTTTTTGTAAATAATTAAATTAAACATTTTTTTCTTCTAATAATTAAAATTACCTTTGAAATTGCACAGGGCTCCTTCTCAGGCTCCGTGCCGTTAGTTGCGCAATCAACGCCTTCAATTGTCAAATTTTCGAAAGCTTTACACCACACGTCGGTGCAGTTTGTCAACGAGTATTTCACCACGTGACTTGAGTTCCCTGTGTTCTGTAAGTTCAACGATAAGTTACGTTTATTTCGGATTGTAGATAATTGGGGGGAGTAAAGGGAGGTTTGGGAGGTTTACTTACTTCACCTATTCCTATTTCAGCCTCAAAGTTTATTTTGTTATCGATCGGCAATGAAGGGGAAATGTTTTTTATCCACCATTCATTTTTTTGGCAATTTTCAAATGTAATTTCTTTGGTGAACTGAAAAATATTTTAAATTAAATTAATATTTTGGCTTAGAAATTCAAGATAGAACAAATGATATATTATAAGTTGACAAAATATAATATAATTTCTCAATTATTGACATTTTTAAAGATATAAGCTCATCATGATGTTACACTCATCAAGACCTTTCATTTGAGTACCCACATCAATTTTTCATATATTTATGTATATTATATATATGTATATATGAAAAATATATAAAAAATTCATGTGGGTACTCAAATGAAAGCTCTTGAAAAGTGTAACATCGGAATGAGCTTATATCCTTAAAAATATGATAAGTTGACAAAATACAATTTAATTTCTTAATTATTGACATTTTTAAAGATATAAGCTCATCCCGATGTTACACTCATCAAGACCTTTCATTTAAATACCCACATCAATTTTTCATATATTTATATATATTACATATATGTAT